TTTCCACCTTTCAATTACATCAACGTTTTTGTGTGGATGTTGGATACATGGCGTATACCGAGCTACGTTTTGATGCTGATCATTTTATGGTTTCGGGCTCTAATATTTATGTGGTTTATTATACGATTAATGTTGTGTGAATTTGCCCACTGACGATTATACGCTTGACTGGTGACTTTTGAGTGCGCCAGGCATTTGACTTCCATCTTAAGTTTGAAGGACTTTGTTGACGTAGTTTGCTAGCAGCACTGTACATCTGGTCCATTGGTTCGTCATGGCAGGATCCGATCTCATGAGCAGTAGTATTGCCAGCGGCGCATCCAACCCCGCCGCCATTTTCGCGCCTCCCGCTCAATCGTTCCTATCTGTTGCTGTTTCTCAGAGTACCATGGTCACGGGCGTGATTTTAAGCCGCCAAAGGTCTTTGATGCCAAATTCCAAACAAGGTTGAGTTGTGGTGCGAAAGCTTGCTGAATGCACAGCGGGGAGCCATCGCGGGGGCCACCAAATTGTTCAGTTGGAACTTCAAAACCACCCCGATTCCTCAACGGCTCCCTAAAGGGACCACCGCCGCGTTCAGTGAAGGTCCCGATGGCGGTCTTTGTCTCCTGCGCCTGTCCTGCAGAACCATCGCGGTGGTTTTTGAATCCCGCCGGTTGCTGCGCCCACGGCCATTTGTCAGACGACTCGCATTCCTCAAGGACAATTAGTTTTCCGAAATCTACCATTTCCATCATTTCGTTGAGAATTTCGGCCATCAGATTTGCATGCGGCCAGTTATGGGAGATCATTTTTCAAGTACCGCAATTACATGCATACATGTGTCCCTAGCCCATTTTTTAAGCGCTCTATCTCGCCTTTGAGCGCTTTCAGATGTACGCTCTGTGAGCTCCGGCAGTTTTGATGGGTTGGGTGGATATTCGACCTTCAAATGCACCGTTCACGTCCGTTCGATATTTTTCGCCCTATTTCGCAAGGAAATAGAATACTGTGGTCGCTGTAGATCATTTGTGAAGGTTTCCATTTCCTGTAGAGAAAGATGCTAGTGAAAAGTGTTTAATGGTACTGGAGGCGGCTGGCGATTACCTAGGGGCGGGGCTAAATCTTTTTTTACGAAAAACAAGTTTTAACACAAGGGCAATATATGAGAACACGTGGTATTCTCTATCTCTGCCCGCTTCAGCTGATCGAACAGATCTTCTCTGAGCTTTTCTATGCACAACCTGGTCTCCAAATTCATTTTTGGCGCTATCGCAAGATACGGGGGCATTGTAGCGACGATGCATTTGAACCACATAACATCTCAATTTTGTTCGAAATGGGACGATGGCTCAGGCGGGAGGGGAGGCTTCCAGAGTACTTGAGCAATTTTCAATTTTCTCAAAGTTCTTGCCTCCTACTAGACTTAGTTCTAGAGGATGCCCCCGTATCTTGCGATTGCGCCCATTTTTTTCATTTTTTTCGATTTTCCTTCAAATGGCTACCATTGTGAAAAAATCAAGTGCGCTGCGCTTTACGAAGCCAATGATCAGCGCCGCACACTTTATCATTTGATCATTGATTAAATAAATATAATAAATCTCGTGACGTCATGGAAACACGTTTGCCCAGGCCAATATTATTTTTGTACCAACCATCATCCAATAGCGTAAGTGGGCGGGCCTCACGCAGGTGGGCGTGGCTCCCACACTATTCACCAAGCTTGACGAGTTTGAACAGAATCTGTGTTTTTTTTTCTTCGATCGTATCTTTAGTTACACTTTGCGCTTTTGCCACCTTTTGTTCAAATTTTTATTCAATTTTGACTCAGTTAGTCCGTAAAATGGCATGCAATGTCCGCAAAACTGGTCTATTCCCGTGAAGGAAGCTCTTCCCATAGCTAGATCATTGGAATCGCCTCAGCGAACTTGCTGTC